TTTCAGGGGCCCCGGCAACATTTCAGCGATGCATGGACATTGTGTTAAAGACCTGTTCTTGGAAAGTCCACATTTATCTATTTAGACGATATCATTATTACTAGTGATAATCTCGACCAACATGTACAGGATTTAAGACAGGTGTTTTCTTTATTAAATGAGGCCGGTCTAAAAGTTAATGTCGAAAAGTGCAAATTTGCAGCCCCTGAATTAAAATATTTAGGTTACAAAATATCTCAGAAAGGAATCGAGACAGACGAATCAAAAATAATCGCTGTACAAAAGTATCCGACTCCAAACACGGCAAAGAAGCTCTCTTCTTTTCTAGGACTTTGTTCATATTATAGGTCCTTTATAAAAGATTTTGCAGCTATTGCTAAGCCATTGTTAAAATTAAAAAGGAAAAAGGCAAGATTCTCGTGGACGGCCGAAGCCAATAGTGCTTTCGAAAAATTAAAACAAGCATTAACGCAAGCCCCTGTGTTGAAATTTCCTGAAAAGGATGAGAATTTAGAAATTTCAGCGGATGCTTCGGATTATGCGGTAGGAGCGGTACTTTCGCAAAATCAGCAGCCCGTGGCATTTTTTAGCCGAACTTTAAATCAAACACAAAGAAAAGAAACTATTCCGCGACCGAGAGAGAGGCACTTGCAGTTCTGTTAGCAGTGCAAAAGTTCCGAGTCTATTTTGGAAAGGCGCCAATAACAGTGTACTCTGATCATGCGGCGGTAACTAGATTGTACTCAGGGAAAAAAATTTATCCCCAAGGTTAATAAGATGGGCACTCAAGCTACAAGAATATAATCTGGTAATCAAGCATATCCCCCGGAAAGGAAAATATCCCCCGGAAAGGAAAATATCGTAGCAGATGCCCTATCCAAGAATTAAAATAGATGAAGAAGGTAATACCGTAAAGGTGGCAATGCTCACAGCATGTACAATAAATTCCCGAGAAACTGTAATAACCGAACTGGGTAAGGATCCTGAGTTTGGAAGCATTTATGAGTATTTAAAGGATCCTGAAAATTTTAGCCACCAAGATATTGTGGCGATAAGAAATAGGGCGGCCCATTACGAACTAATAGATGGTCTATTATTTTATACAAAAACTACGAATTCCAACAACGAATTTCGACCTGTTATCCCAGCTAGTCTTAGATTAAATATCCTGCAGGAGCTCCATGACAGCCCTTTAGCTTCTCATGCTGGTATTCGAAAAACTATCCAACGCGTACGCGAGGCAGTCTACTTTCCTGAACTGCAAAAGTTAACAAGGGCGTATGTCCAGTCCTGCCCAACATGTCAAGCAGTTAATTATATTAATTTCCGCCCGGCCGGGTTTCTAAATAGTATTAAATCCGAATTTCCAAATGAAATAATTGGCATCGATTTATTGGGCCCTTTCCCAAAAAGTCAGTTAAATAAAAGTCGCTATCTCCTTGTTATGGTTGATCATTTTAGTAAATGGACCGAAATTGTTCCCTTAAAACGAGCCTCCGCGAAATTAGTTACTGATTCTATTTTAAATAAATATATTTTAAAATACGGGGCGCCCCTAAAAGTTATATCGGATAATGGTCCTCAATTTGTAAGTAATATATTTGAAGACATGTGCCAAAAACTGGGCATACGTCATTTAAAAATGGTCCCGTATCGGCCGCAATCAAATATAGCGGAACGGGTCAATAGAAATATAGTGAAAATTATCCGTAGTTATGTTAAAAATTTTCATAAAAGCTGGGATAACTATGTCAATGAATTTGCTTTCGCCCTTAGGACCGCAAAACATGATACAACGGGCAAAACTCCTGCTGAGTTATTTTAGGCAGCAGAAAGATTATAACGCCGTTAGATAAATTATTTTATGTGCAACAAAGAGCCCCAGAATTTAAAATGGGTGATATAGAAAAACTAATTAAAGAAGCAAAAAAGAATACTGAAGTAGCACAGAGAAAACAAAAAGCTGTATTATGACTTGAAACGACGGGGAGTAACTTATAAAGTAGGGGATGAAGTTTAAAAATTAAGCATTCACTTTCTTCAGCACCAGAAGATAAAACTGCCAAATTTTTTCCACGATTTGAAGGACCATATGTTCATAGAAAAAAATAACTCACGCTGTAGTAGTGTTAAAAGCCAGAAATGGTGAAACCTGCTCCGCAAACATTGATCAAATCAAACCCTACTATGATCGTAATAAAATGCAAATATTTCAGATCTTTTGCAGGATCCGGCACGGCAGACACCGCAGGCACAAGCTCCAGAGGTGGAAAAACGACAAGTACAAGGGCAAGCCATTAAGAGGCAGGAGCAAGTGAAAAGAAAAGTTTCCCCGCGGAAAATTGAAGGTAACAAGAAAAAGAAGCCGTTCCACCGTCCAGAAAAGAGAGTTCACGAACACCCCCAGAATGAAGAAGGGAGAAGGACGACGTATGTGCAAAGAGAGCCAGGAGAAATGACGGCAACTATAACCCGGCTCTAAAACGGAAGATCTACTCATCCGACAGGACTCTCCGCAGCAAATGTCGCCGAACTGCGGAAGGGCCACCAGCGGCGGAGGAGGAAAAGTTACAAGGAAAATTTGAACGGCCAGCAACGAGGTCCAAGCAGGAACACGAAGAAGTTTCCCGGTTCCGCCAAGACCAGCTGCCATCAAACGGCCAAGACCACAGGCAGAGGCGAAAAAGAAGGTATTCAAGGGTGACCGAACTGGTGAAAAAAGAAAGCTTCTAGAGGAAGGCACTGAAGGGCGAGCCCGCACAAGAAGGAGGATAAATCAAACAACTATCTGCAATACCTTTCCAGGACTGGGCCTCAGAAAAGGAATGTCCGAATATCACAAAGATAAGTAAAATTTTATGTTACTTTGCAAACTTAAGTTAATCTTTCATTCTTACTGCAAGTGGCAGATTTCAAGAAGTTTTACCTCATGCGAGGTCTACCTTTATCGCCAAAAGGGCGAGAAATGAGTTGTTACCGATTTTGGTATTATGTTTTTCAATTACTCGCGCGTAAAACTAAAGTTGATGTATAATAGCGAATGTGTAAAGACTTAAATATTGTAAAAGTTATTGTATAAATTTTATTTAAAACATTCTGGCAAGAAAGAAGTTTTAGTCTGAAAGACTTTTTGAAATGTAGTATTTCAATGTAGAGAAGAATTGGCACTTGCTTTGAAAAGAATAGAAGTTAACAATGTACTACTAATGTATGTTTTCAAATGCGTAAAATTAACGGCATGTTAATATGTTCTTATATACAATGTGAACTGTTATTTTAAATGTTAAGAAATACCGTGATATGGTAAAAGTGAAAGTAATGTTAAAATTTTTTTTTATTCGTGTGACTGTAAAAAGACTAAATCATGGTGAATATGTGTTAAAGGTTGAATGAATGTAGTTAGGCTCTCTGACGCTACACTTCAGAGTTAGCCACTTTCAGAATAGTACCTCAGGGTTTAGAGTTGAAATTAGGGTGTGTTACGAGGTCTTGGTATGTTGAATTTTAACACGTTAGTGTTTTGATTGTAGGAGGAAGTGTTGGAACACGTAGACATAAACACATTCGTGTTTGGTGTTCTTTTACAACACATGTCAGAGAGCACGGGGAGAGATAATTAAAATAGTCATGAATGAAATAAGAATGTTAAGAGAAATATAATTATACATGTTACTTGCCATTTCATTGTGTAACATTTCATTAAACTAGTTTTCCTTCCAGATCTCTGGAAGGAACCAGATTTGAATAAAAGCTCCTGTTTAGATGCAGTACAGATGAAAAAAATTGCGTGTATCCTGGGAGCTGCTATTGTAAAAACAAATTTCTTTCTTTTAAATTTCTAGTTTCTAGTGAAGAAATGTTTGTAAAAGATTGGCCTCGCGTTAGATTCTAGAGCTAAAAGTTTTCAACAAGGTCGTTTTAGACCTCAGTTTCAAACTAATTAACTCTGGCGGGAAGTATGTAAGGATCTTAAGTTTTACTAACGTTTATTTTATTTTAAATCTTTACTATCACTTCTTATTTTCTACTTCCGGCCAGAATTATAAGCGTTAACTTATTTATGCAAAGTTTGTCTGGCGAACGCCAAGTACTTAAGTTGTGGCTTTTTGCCAAGCGAGAGAGAGGAAGCAGTTAGTCGAAGCAGGCCGCTTACCTTAGAAGTTTTACTCAGTTGCTGGTTGCCTTCCAGGCCAGAGGTTTAATCCTCTTGATAATTTTTAAACGTATTGTATTGTAGTGTTCACAGTTCTCTGTACTACATACGGCTTCCTGTTAATATAAGGCCAATCTTCCACGTTTATTATTTAAAGTTAAATTAGAGTTTAGTTTATTTTTATATTTTTACGTTTAGACCCCAAGTAGTGGGTCTTTGTATTCCGAAGTACGGAAAGTTATTGTAAATAGAGAAAAATAAAGGGTTTTGTATACCCTTCTTGTGTATCCTGTCTACTTCCCACAGTTATTGAACATAGCTTTAGTAAGCTCTCTGTTCCGAGTCAGGTCCTTGCATGTTCGAGAAGGTAAGAGGAATTACCGAAAAATGCATGTAAAATTTTCAATCAATAAATTTTTAAGATTTTATTTGCTTTTTAATTTTTTTAATCTTGTCTGGGTGATAACTGTTACACTCTTAATAGGTATTTAGCTATACTACAGTAGCTAGTAACAAGTATAATTCGTTAGCCTAAAGTAGAACATAGTGTCATCTTTGGTTTCCCTAGGTATTAGCTAAAAGAAAGAAGCTGTTTTTAAGATTGAAATAAAAATCATTATTTAAATAAAATTGTGAGTGTTGACTGTAATTAAAAATTGGGAAATATGCTCTAATTCTGTGAGCTGTGTGTTCACTAAATTCTTTATTGGATTCTTTTCAAAGAATATGTACTACAGAATAATTTCTTAATGCTAGAGTAAAGCTGCTAATACTAACTGCATACTGATGAATCTCGTGATAAATGTTTAGCAGATACGATAAGTGAATGTAAATAAAAGAGCAGAAAGAAAATGTGTACATATTTTTATGCACATCTCATATAAAAGTTCTTCATTCCTTAAAATTATTGCAGTTTTAGATGAAGATTATTTACAAACGAAAGACAAACAAAGAACTCTATACATCCTTGTGCAAAACTGCTAGCAACATTTTGCAATATCTCGTTTACCACAAGCAACGCTCATTCTTCTGCCACTGCTCTTGCTCCAATTTAAGACCAACACGCGTCTTTCTCTAAATATCGAGATCTTTAGGTGTTCGAAACTGGATTTCTTTGAATTAATTCGGAAGCTAAACCTTAGCTTTTAGTTTCAATGCTGTAGAAGGATTTTTCTGGCTTTGTGTGTTTCGTGTCGTTCTCTGTTTGTTTGATCCAAGGCTGCAGTTCTGCCGAAGCAAACATGGCAAAAAATGCCCCACAGACTGTATATACTCCCGCTGTGATGTAGAAAACACTGCTCCAGTTAGCTCTTGTTGCCTGAAAAAAGTTTTTAATGTTAATTTTTGAATTAGTGTCATCAATATTTTAATGAAATTAATTTATATTAAATACCTCTAAGTGGTAAAACCGTATATATGCGTTTAAAACCATTAATCATCACCATTTGAAACACACAGACATGTACCTCGAAATGTGGCCAGACAGTTAAAGTAGCAAGTATATTGAAAGTTAAAAAGTCAAGGAAATTTGGATGGTCAGTTTGGTATTATAATAAAAACAATAGCTCTTATACCTCGAAAATAATTTATATTAAAACCCTCTAAGAGGCCCAACCATATTATATACGTTCAAAATCATTAATCCTCATCATTTTTAAGCATACAGACATGTATCTCGAAATGTGGCCAGGCAGTTAAAGTTAAGTAATGTGGCCAGGCAGTTAAAGTAGCATATATAAGTATTATTATAATAAAAAAATAACTCTCATACCTCATGATCTTTTCAGTTTGCAAAATGTTCAGGACCCAACCCTTGGTCTCTTGGAGAATTAAACGCTAACAGTTGATTTTAAACGGGAACAGAAACAAATATTAAAATTGCAGTCTGATCTACGTAATAACACTCGAAACAGACTTTTATCTAAAAGCGAGAGAAAAATTAGACTTATTGTTCTGCTTAACTAGAAGATTAGACCTCTGGGTTATGTTAGATAGTTTCATTTCTTGTGCCTTCTCGAGTCACCCCCTTTTTTTCCTAACTCCTTCTCGGCCCGGACTAAACACTAGCATGCGCCCTCGTGGTATATTCATCATTGAGCCGAACACGTCGCGTGCTCACAGCGATATTTCGGCATAATTTGCATTGATTGATTGATACCAGAATTACAACATTGTTTTATAATTTTTTTTATTCTTGTACTGGTGGTGATAACTGGTTTTAACACTCTTAATAGTGTATGTTAGGCCTATAAGCTTACAGTTAGCTAGTTAACAAGTATAATTTCTAGTTAGACTTATAAACTTACTAACATATGTGTCATCTTTGGTTTCCCTAGGTATTAGCTAAAAGAAAGAAGCTGTTTTTAAGATTGAAATAAAAATCATTATTTAAATAAAATTGTGAATGTTATTAAAAATTGGGAAATATGCTCTAATTCTGTGAGCTGTGTGTTCACTAAATTCTTTATTCGATTCTTTTCAAAGAATATGTACTACATGCTATATAGTACTATAGTGCTAACTATGCAGCTCCGCCCCAATTTTGAAGGAGAAGGTCTGAAGGTCTCTCACCTCTCTTTCCCTACCATCAACTATTCGACAGAGCCATTTATTTAGAGCCCCCCATGCCGCACAACTATACATTTACAAACATCCATGCCTTCTCCGGGATTAGAACCCGGATCCTTCGGTACAGCAGTCAGGGTTGCTAACCAATATTCCGGTTGGGCGGCTGGTCTTCTTCTTCATGGTTCGAAGACATCACCTTAAAGGGGCTCTTTGCAGGATGAAATGAGCGGGACACAACCCATACCAAAATCTGTGTGTAATTTGTACTATATATTACCAGGAGATAATATATAGTTCAAATATATAGTTATAGTATATATAGATTCTTCAGATGAATATAAAATTGCTGTTTATGTTCCGTTTGTTCAAAAATATAATATTATGAGAATTATATTACTTGTTTTGAATTAATAAAAGTAGCTTTATACAAACGATGGCCAAACGTTGTTGTTTGATGATGTATATTTTTAGAGATAATTTAATTTCCATCTAATAGAAAAATTTACCTGTCTTTAAAAATATTCGTCTTTCAACATTAATGTTTTTAAAGCTAGCGAGTTAAAATAATTTTTTTTTTTTTTTTTTTTTTTACAATCCAGAAGTTTAAGTTCGCATCTAAAATTTGTCACTAAGAAAGAAAACGCTGTACTTCCGTAACCTTTTGATAAAATTGGCACACCTTTGAAATTCAAATATTAAAGACTTGGAGAAATACTTTTGTTACTTTGTTTCCGGTCATAAATCGAAGAAGTTCCATGCTTACTTAAATCACTTCAAATTATTCCACCATGCTTTACTTTAGAAATTGTGCGTAAAATTATTTCCATGGAACTCAGCAGCATTCCTTACGCATTTTGATTTGCATATTACAGGAAACGTTATATGATCATCATTCTTTTAATAATGAGCTGCCGTTTTGTTTTTTCAACATACAAAACTGTATTGTTGAGCTTCGAGCTTTCGCTGTTGAATTTTTTTTGTCCCATCGTATGTAATTTTAAGAATAATGTTTCTAAAACATTTTGTAGAAAAACATTGAGCAAAAGTTCTTCCACAGACTTTGAAGAGATGCACTGAAACTGAAACAGTGTACTGTGTTACCTCTGTATCAGTAGTCAGTAGAATAAGTGATGATATGTTATGGTCAGTCATCTCACAGAGCGACTCTGAGAAGAATATACGTTATGCAGAGATGATGTCATTTACAGTCTGCTGCTTTAAAACAGGCAATTCTTTTCTCTCTTCCTCATTCGATATGTTATCATCATCGCACAGTTTTTATTTCCCCCAATTCTGAGACTGCAGTTAAAAGTCAGCTTTCATTCGTGTATTTTTCACTAAAATAAACGTGATGATAATGTTGTCGTGTCTATGACAAAGTGCAATTTTATAGCTCCGAAACTGTCAAAGACAGCTTTTGCAACCTCGGCAGCTCTATCAGTATAAAGTAGGTCCACTGGGTCTTCAATGCCGATGTCACACAGTCTGGCCTGGATTGTTGGGCAGCTGAAGATGTGATGGCCAGACAGTGGGATGTCATCTGGGCAATGAGGACAAATGTTGGTGTAACTAAGCTGTCCGTCTGCAGAAATCCTCATCCCTTTTAAGTGACTTGTCCTAAGTCTGGTTATGATAGTCGATATGGCTTTGTCACAGTTCAATTACAAAATAAACGTGCTAAATCGAAATGAAGGAAACAGTTAGGGGACTCTACCATCTGCCACAGGGTCGTCACCATGATTACGAGACAAGTGGGACACAAGAGAGTGATTCTGAAGTGCGTATTCTTAAATAATAGGCTATGGTAGGAGTGATATTCGAACACTGGCATAAATGGCATTTTTGTAAGTATTTGATGTAAATGAAAAATTATCTTTCGCATATGATATAATTTTGTTTACATATTATGAACGCTGCGGCATCTTATATATTCCCCTACAAGATAGTAGCAAAATTCCTTGTAAGTAGTTAAATAAATGCTATCTTAATTTTGTACATAATATTCAAATGTACTCGTAAATTACCCCGCTGGCAGTGAAGTAGCCGACAACCGCTGGTCCTATAATTCCAGATAGGTTTGAGATTGCGTTAGTAATTCCAAATGTTGTACCTGTAATAAAAACAGAGGAAGTAAATCTTTCGTTCTAATTATCTACTACTTACTTAAAATAATTTTTAAATAAAATTATGAACTTTTTTTTCAACTCTAAGAAATTTTTTTTTATGGCGAGCACTAACCATTTTAGGCTTTGGCTTCTACTAGGCGCAGAAGTGGTGGTTATCTTATTATAGATGCATCTAAGAGGCGGTCATTGTTACCTCTTATGAAGGGCAGACAATTTACATCCATGCGTTCTCCGGGATCCGAACCCGGGTCCTACCATATGGCAATTAGATTCACTAATCACTTCCCCGTCTGGGCAGCAAATCATTTACTTTAATTTTTATATGAGGGTTCTTCAGAGATAAATGCAGTTATTAGTGTTAGAAATTTCATTTTAATCGAGAAAAGTGTGGTAAAGGAACAAAAGTTAAAAAACGTTTTTTGTCTAAAAAAGAACAGTGACCGAATCAGCTGAGAATACAACCAAAAAGTTATTTGAAAAATGATTCGGGTAATTCTCCTATTATAGGCACTTTTATAGGTCAAATATGTATTTATTTAAACGCAAGCAAAGAAAGTTTATTTTTTTCGTTTAATTTGTTTTATTTCTGTAACATTATACAGTTTTAAAAACTGTTTTTATTTTTATAAATTTTTAATTAAATTTAAAGGCATTCCTCCCATATGACTCTCCAAAGTTGTTACTTGAACATCAAACAAATAGTCGGACATCTCAGTCAGCTGGATTTGATTTTCGGCGAGAGAAGACTGATATCTTAAAGAATTTTACTCATAGGAAGTGTGTTTGTCTACATTGTGAAATTCAAAATTCATTTTCTTTGACAAATTTGAATTCTTAAATTATTGCATTTTATATGCCTAATCACGCTGTTCAATTCTACTTCGACTAAAATGGAAAAATACAATATTTTTTATTTATGCCACATCTAAAACTAAATATGTAAATTTATCTTTTCCCCACGTGAAAAAAAACTGAAGTGAAAAGAATGATTACATTAATCTGCGAGCTATTGTTATTATTAGCCCAAAGGAGCGTTAGCCCATGAGGGCCATTTGTCTCGAAATGGCATTTTACGTCGAATCACTACGGCTGCATCGCTTTTCAAATTGTTACCACCAAATATTATCTACCTGTATTTTATTTAAGGAAATTAAATAATGATGAATCTGCATGAATGTATGTATGTTTCTTGTATTGTGAAAAAACAACGATACCTAGAGTCATCAAATTTTTAATAACGTAGTCCTCCACCCGAATTTGGAAATTGGAATTTGTTTTATTATCTAGTTCATATTTTTTAAACTTTAACTAGAGATATGCCGTTTTTAAATATTTTTAGCCTAAAGGGGCGTTATACTAAATGCTCTCGAAACGTATATGTATGTGTAAATGAAAAAAATTCCCCTTGGGCGTAATATAAAATCTGAAAGCTTTCAAACTTTGTTAAAATTATTATTATGAGCGTTATGCTGCTAGATATTACAAAATCATCTACATAATATAGATTCATTCATATAAACTCATTTAATAACATCTTAAGACAGCATGTACGTGTGTTGTCTCCCTGTGTTACTTAAATAAAACAGAATTAAAACACATAATGAAATTTAAAAAAAGATTAATTTTACTTATCCTAGAGAATAGATGATGCTGATAATTGCAATACCATATACCTTGAGTTCTGGATTATTGGTACATCAAACTAAATTCCTTTTCTTTTTGAGAAAAAAACGGCAATAATTTTTTTTACAATTAGCCTTTTTTTAATTGTATCTTAGCATTTTTGAAAATTAACTATTTAATGAAATAAAATTGAAATTAATGATAAAATATGTTATTTTATAATTTTTTATATTTTTAAGAGAAGGCCTTCGATTCCTTCGGTTCGCTTCCGTTAAAAATGATTCCTACTGAAAAATATCTAATTTATAGACAATTTTTATAAAATAGATTTCATTTTAAATTCTGAAAAGTAATCTTACACTAAAGATTTTACACTGATTCTGTTGCTGAAAAAGAAGAGTATTAATTACTGAATGCATATTACAGAATATAATCTTCGGGTTAGGCTGTTTTTTATAATTTTACTGTTCTTTTTAATTCATCACATTTTAATAACAGAAAAAAATATTGGATAGTATTTAAATTAAAGACAGCAATGATAATATCGCCTTCGTCTTACTAAATCAGTTAATATACACACTTTTTTGAATGCCTTCGGATTCGAGTTTTAACATCTGGCATCTTTATTAGTAGAGAATTTTATGGAGCTTCTTTCAGCACTCGTCGTAGAATAGTTTTGAAACTATAAAAAGTAACTTTATATGTGGACCCGCAGAGTAATGAAAAGCGTTTCTTACTTTCACGTGCAAATTTCAGGAAGAAGTCAGAAAGTAAATCTGCTGATTTAGCAAACTATATTTTAGATCGAAATTAAATACATACATACGGAAAGTTTCTCATAAAGGTTTCCATCATATATTGTCTAGAAAACAACAATTACCCATTTTACGGTGATTTGTTTCATGCCGAATTAAACAACAACATTTATTAACTTTGTAAACGCACAGAGAAAAATATATAATTAAGGATACCTCAACAAAGTTTGCATGTAAAATTACGAGATGCTTTATATTTAACTGATCAAAGCATTTTTCTAAACAAGGTTTTTGCTGTTTGCGGACGGATCATGTTAAGAAGATAAATTTAACGTTTTCAAAACCTTTCTAAAAATTTCATATTTCGTTCAAAGGGGGTGTTTTTCTTTAAACATACGTACACGTTTTGAGAGTATTTGGGCTAAAGATATTTAAAAACAGCATATCTTTGATAGACATTCTCGCGCGCTGAAAATAAAAGTGTTTTATTCCGTACAGCGTGCTGCAAATGCTCGCTTTGAAATCGTTGAGTTTTTTTTTTACCAAAAATTCGCTAAAGTTTTACAAATTATGAAATAAATAATAAAATAAATTCGAAATTCAGGCTTCTAGGTGTCCATATTCGGGTGGAAGACTGCATTATGGAAAATTTGACGGCTCTAGTTACCGCTGTTTTTTTCACAGTGTGAGAAACGTACATACATTCATGCAGATTCTTCATTATTTAATTTCTTTAAATAAAATCAGAGCGATAATATTTCCTGACAACAATTTGAAAAGTGAACCGACGCAAAATGCTGTTTTGAAACTAATAGCCTCTTTGGGATAACGGACCTTTAAGCTAAAATATAGTTTACATAAAATACCCTACTTTCAATAGAGAAACTTTGTAAGTGCATGCCTAGAATTTATAATTATAGGAGTAATTGTTTTTCAAACGTATGCATAAAAAAATCGCTGTTCCATTAGAAGATTTCAAAACTTGCATAAAACTAATTTTTATAGCGTTCTTGAACCACCAAAGGGGTCTCTAGCCTTATTATTAGTTATTGGGTACATGTATTTAAATTTTATTACTCTGTATAATTAACCAACATACTGACATTAAAAGAATATTATTTAAAACATTTTCAAAAATATTCAACAACATGAATTAAGATTTAAATAGTCTTGAGTCTTACCGGCAAGATCAGGATTCATATCCACATGCGTTACATTGAATCCCGAGTATATACCACCGTTGAGAGCCATAGCGAGAGTAAACAGACCTATAATCAATTCTGGATTACAACCCGATACTGTGACGCCCAGCAAACAAGCTGCCGGTCCAAATAAACCTGAAAAAAAGTAAGAAGAACTTATAGTCATTATATGTTGGAGCAAAGATAGTCAAATTTTCAGTTTAACTTTCATTTAAACTTATTTGTGAATAAATGGGCAATTATTTTTCATTTAACTCAGAGCGTCCGTAACAATAACAACTGAAATATAATTGGTTGCAATAAACAAACATGTTTATTGATACTTGCAGATTTTAGTTAGTATGCGCATACTTTTAAAATTAATAAAAAACCTCTCATATTCAAGATGATAGTAAGCCAGATAAAATAATAATTCCTTGTAGAGTCATTTGTTTATTTTGAAGCAGGAGAAGTGAAAAATATGCAGTGCCCTCGCAGGGACTCAAACCCTGGACCTCTCGAATGCGAGTCAAATGTGCTTTCAGTTACACCCCGCAGGCATGCGGAAAGGAGGGAGAAAATACATAATATACTCCCCCTTTTAAAGGACGACTGGAGACGAGGGGATCCAATCGCCAAATCCTGGTGGTAACAAACTATTGTTCACCACCCTTAAATCAGGAGCCACTTGTAGATTCAATATGCTTTTTTGAAACAAGAGACATGATGAATATGCAGTGCCTTCGCTAGGACTCCGACCCTGGACCTCTCTAATGCGCATCGAGTGTGCTTCCAGTTACACCACTAAGGCAAGCGGAAAGGAGAGGGAAATACCTTATAACCTCACTAAAATGAAAACATTCCTCCATTTTTAATATTAAGAAACCTTTTTGCCGCCATAACCATTAGTTAAATATATTTTTTTTCTCGTAGTGATATTCTGAATTAGAATTTTCCATTTGTTAATTCACATCAAATATCTTACTAAGAATTTGAAATTTACGATAATCATTTTATTTATTACAAAGTTTGCACTCGTATATTCACTAAAAAAACATTTAAATAATATTTTTCTAGACATTGGAGAGCATTTTGATATTGGAGATGGAACAAAATACGAAATACAAAAACTTAAACTTTGGCAGGAGAGACATTATATTGAAAAACATTCCAAGTCACATCTTGAAGATCAATATTCTACATAATATATTTATCTTCCGCCACTAATTCTCTTCTGCTTGGCTTATTGCCAGGCTAAATGCTAAAACAAGCATACTGAGAGTTGAAAAAGGGGTTTCAGTAAGGTAACACAATGTGACATCAGTCATTATTTTCTAAAATGTTAATCAAGTGACATCGTGATTTGAGCCCCAGTTTAATTTTTCTTTGGAGCATCTGTTGGCCATAATGGGATCTAGCTTGTGATCTATGATTTCGAAATAATAATACAGGATTGTGGTCGTACTACACAATTTGTGAATATTTATCAATCCAGAACAGTATTAGCAACTCTTTGACACTATGTTCCGACGTGTAACTCACTACTGAGGCCTCCAGGAGGGACGACCTGTTACTGAATTCATATTCCATTATTACCTACTTTTCCGCATATTACAAGAAACAAGTGTTGGCCGTATTTGTAACTAGTCGTTGATTTGCATACCTTCTGGAAAACTTTTTGGTTCATATATACAGAATACAAGACTAACAGCCACAGAATAAACTTTTTGGTTCATATATACAGAATACAAGACTAACACGAATTTTGGTTATATACAGAATACAAGACTAACAGCCACAGAATAAACTTTTTTGGTTCATATATACCGAATACAAGACTAACAGCCACAGAATAAACTTTTTGGTTCATATACAGAATACAAGATAACAGCCACAGAATAAACTTTTGGTTCATATATACAGAATACAAGATAACAGCCACAGAATAAACTTTGGAATACAGAATACCACACAGAATAAACTTTTTGGTTCATATATACAGAATACAAGACTAACAGCCCAGAATAAACTTTTTGGTTCATATATACAGAATACAAGACTAACAGCCCAGAATAAACTTTTTGGTTATATATACAGAATACAAGACTAAACAGCCACAGAATAAATTTTGGTCATATACAGAATACAAGACTAACAGCCACAGAATAAACTTTTTGGTTCATATATACAGACAAGACTAACAGCCACAGAATAAACTTTTGGTTCATATATACAGAATACAGATAACAGCCACAGAATAAACTTTTTGGTTCATATTACAGAATACAAGACTAACAGCCACAGAATAAACTTTTTGGTTCATATATACAGAATACAAGACTAACAGCCACAGAATAAACTTTTTGGTTCATATATACAGAATACAAGACTAACAGCCACAGAATAAACTTTTTGGTTCATATATACAGAATACAAGACTAACAGCCACAGATAAATTTTGGATATTAACAGCCACAGAATAAACTTTTTGGTTCATATATACAGAATACAAGACTAACAGCCACAGAATAAACTTTTTGGTTCATATATACAGAATACAAGACTAACAGCCACAGAATAAACTTTTTGGTTCATATATACAGAATACAAGACTAACAGCCACACTTTTGGTTCATATATACAGAATACAAATACACAGAATAAACTTTGGTTCATATATAACAAGACTAACAGCCACAGAATAAATATACAGAATACAGAAAACTTTTGGTTATACAGATATTAACAGACAGGAATAAACTTTTTGGTTATATATACAGAATACAAGACTAACAGCCACAGAATAAACTTTTTGGTTCATATATACAGAATACAAGACTAACAGCCACAGAATAAACTTTTTGGTTCATATATACAGAATACAAGACTAACAGCCACAGAATAAACTTTTAAAATGAAATAATTCATTGCTCCGAACTACGGATGTTAAAGTCTCTGTGTTTTGAAAAGAAAATGCGAATCGTGTGTGTGTATGATTATGGCAAAGCCTCGAGGGCTATCTGCCTAAGGGGAGGAATGCCTTCGTGGAGGACTTTCTAAGGGAAACTGGCTCGTATACACGTTACACATGGGGAAAACCACGAAAACGCCCATGCAGCCAGCCCGTTCGCGGGATTCGAACCTCGGACCGAACTACCAGTGTTCAGCGACTTTACTGCTCGGCCGCTGGTGGGCGAAAATGCGAATCAAATAAAATCAAATGCAGTTCTGAGTTCTAGTTCTAAAACAAAATCCTACAAAACCAGTTTTTAATGTATCATAAGTATTTTTAATGTATCACAACCAGTTTTTTAACTTCACCAAATAATTTGGGAATAAACTAGTGTTGTGTACAACATTTAGATGCGTATTTTCATGTTCAAGTATAGCAATTTAATTCATTTTATAATGTAAAATATTTTATAGAATTGTGGTTTCTGAAAATATACCCATTATGAAACGTAAATACGTTCATTCAAAACAGCGAGATTTCTGTTCTCGCTTCCATAGCAAAATTATAATATGCAATAAATATATTATGATTTTTAATTTTGTTTAAAAACTTAATGCATTAAAAAAGTAATATGTCAGTTAACCTTGAATGTGTTGTCGAGCAGAAATTTCCTGTGATGGATGATGCTCGCTCGTAGTAAAATAGTAAAATAAGTACCAACAACAATTCAATTTTGCCAGTTATTATATCTCAAACTGGCCTGCATTTCAAGCATGCGTGACGTTATATATTCTTAAGAATTATTTTATTAGAAACACACGTCACCAACGAGCTTATGTTGAATTATTTAAAAGTATCTTTCGTTTTTAATATAAGTACTTTGCCCCTGCATTATTTTTGATTAATACACGCTAGGAGACCATACTGCATAGATTATAAATTATGTAATATAGGACTATACTTGCTCATGGTTGTATGGCAATCTACGTGGGATGTTCTCAAAGTTCTAGGAATTTAGGCATACTTTTTTTTTGTTAATTTTCATCAATATTACCATGCAATTCATCAGTCAAACAACTGAATTAGACTGAACAATATTGCACGAGATACCTGCATAGATATATCAAGACTTGTCTCAGGCTGATAGCGTCGCCTATAAGTTCCAGGACGTGAATTAATTGTAGAATTTTTAGAACTTTGGAAATACTATACGTATAAAACAATAACAATCTTATAAAAATTATGAACTTAGTATAAAATACGTTCTAATAATTACCTATAGAGTTAAAAATCTTCCGAATAGTGGTTATACTTAGTTTTCCAGAATGTCTAAGTCTGTCTGCACAGAAAGAAAATATCCAGGCGCTGATTGCTTCTACGATGTAGGGCAAAGCTGACAATAATCCATTCTGTTAAATGCAACAGAAACCATGTTAAAATTATCAATAATTTTCCACTGAAATTGTATCTTCTAATCAATGTATTTTAATATTAAAACAAAGCGATAACAAGAAAACAAATATGTTATTATCTTCTGTTTCATTAATCTCACATATTTTATTGTTATTTACTATATCGTTTACATTTACAAGTTTACATTTGTGTAAAAAGTGATATTACAAAATTTTAAAATGATTTACACCAAAACAAAATTTACGTAAGAACCGTAACACTACTTTGGGGAAAGAAAAATCTTAGGTATGAAATTATGTGTAGTAACGTTTAAGAATGTGAAAATTATCACCTGATTAATGCTTCTATAAACATAAGCATATAAATTAAATCGTTTACTCGGATTTAGTATAGCAGAAAGAACACCTAAAAGAAATATGAGTCTCCTTTGCAATTGATATTTCAGTAAATAAAAGATTACTGCTAAAGTTCCTACAGCTATAAAATTGTGCACAAAAAAAAAAAAAAAAAAAAAAAAAAAAAAAAAAAAAAATCTGAAATGTTTCAGATTTTAAATTACGTCCAAAGGGGTGTTTTTTTTAACGTTTTGAGTGTTACTTTATTTATTAAATATCATGTTCTTTGCACTTAAACCATAAAATTCAGTTCAAGAGCAATATCGCAAAATAATGTTAAATTAAGCATATCTTTAGAATTTCCGATACACACAGTCTCGCGAGCTGGAGATAAAAGTATTTTTTTTCTATATAACGTTGCCATTTCTCGCTTTTAAAGCATTGAGTTTGTAAATCAAAAATTCGTTAAAGTTTTACAAAATATAAAATCTATAATAAAACAAATTCCAAATGCCCATATTCGCAGTAGGATTTCGTCATTCAAAATTCGATGGCTCTATGTACCATTGTTTTATCACAATGCGAGAAATAGACAATCATTTATGCAGATTTTTCATTATTTAATTTCTTCAAATATAATGCAGGACTCTAACATTTTGTGGCAACAGTTTGAAAAGTGAACCGACGTTTATGAGTCCGACGCAAAATCGCAAAACGAAAACAATAGTCCTTCAGGGACAAAGCCCCTTTGGACTAAAAATCTGAAATGTTTCAGATTTTAAATTACGTCCAAAGGGGCGTTTTTAACATTTTGTGTGTTACCTTTCTTTATTAAATATCATGTTCCTCGCACTTAAACCATAAGATCCAGTGCAACAGCAATATCGCAAAATAGTTTTAAAACGAGCATATCTTTAGAATTTCCGATACAGAGACTCACGCGCTGGAGATAAAAATGTTTTTTCTGCACAACGTTGCCATTGCTCGCTTTGAAATCCTTGAGTTTGTTAATCAAAAATTCGTCGTCAAAGTTTTAAAAAATAGGAAATCGATCATAAAACAAATTTCAAATTTCAAATTTGGTCTTCCACATGCTCATATTCGTTGGAGGATTACGTTATTCAAAATTCGATGACTCTATGTACCGTTGTTTTATCACAATACGAGAAATATACATACATTTATGCAGATTTTTCATTATTTAATTTCTTCAAATATAATGCAGGACTCTAACATTTTGTGGCAACAGTTTAAAAAGTGAACCGACATTTATGAGTCCGACGCAAAATGCCAAAACGAAACTAATAGTCCTTCGGGATTCAAATCCCTTTGGACTAAAAAAAAAAAAAAAAAAAAAAAAAAAAAAAAAAAAAAAAAAAAAGGTGATTCTTTTTCGATGATTTATTAACTCCTAAGTAGTCCTAAAAAAAAGGCTAAAAAGTTCCTCCTAAGTAGTCCTAAAAATTATTTCGAAAGCTTTTCCTTCTATCAGTTTAGATATGTTTCTGAATGGTGGAAGGAGCAAGTGAGAATTTTTGAGTTTTCTAACTGTGATAGTGAAAATACTTCAGAATTACAGAGCTCTTTACGCATTTTAAAGGCTCAGATTTTCCCTAAGCAAATTAGAATAAAATGATTACAAATTTCTCAGTGTTGATCTCATTTTTTTAAATTAAATTTATTGAAAAAATTGATTCTTCAGAGATAATAATCGCAGACATGTTTCACTGTTATCACAGATTATATTTCATTGTTGGTTGGAAAGAGCTGGATCTTGGAAGGTTCATAGTCTTCACGTCTCTCTCTCTGTATGTACACTCCTCGCCATTAAAATTGCAACATTAAGAAGGAATGATCTGACGAACGTCAAAATCATATGAAAGGAAGAATTTGGGATATGCAAATGATTAGTATTTCGGCGCAGTTAGACGACGCAGGAGGGAGAAACGACATCTGAAGAACTGCATAAAAGAAAAGTTGTGTAGTGGATTTCTCATTCGGAAAGTGTTTTATAAGGTAGTTTGCTAAGAATATCGTGTTATGCCGCGAATAAGAAAAGGAAATGCTTACCTGCAAGTTTCGAAATTCGATAGATGCAGGATTATTGCCTATCGAAAGTGTAGATTATCGTTCCTTTATATCACCGGTCGCAGTGGTCGACATCCAACCACTGTTATGCGAAAATGGAATCGATGTATTACTGAGGGTCATACTGAACGGCAGGCAGGGTCTCAACGCCCTTCCATGACTAACGCCAGAGAGGACAGATATATTGTTAGGGCAGTCCTGCAAATCCGTATGACCACATCACGAACCATTAGTCAGGAAATGGGCATGTTTGCAGCATGCCTAGTATCAGCTCGTAAGGTGCGTCGACGTTTGCAGCAGCGTGGACTATCAACAGGGTGACTATTACTTGGGCTTCCTTTGACAATGCAGCATAGAGAGAGACGGCACCAAACGACAAAGCTGAGTAAAGGAGTGACACAATGTCGCCTTTTCAAACGAGTCCGCGTTCTACGTGCAGTATTCTGATGGCCGTATACGTGTCTGCAGTGTCCGAGGAGACCGCACGTCGCCTACCTGCATTCGATATCGACATAGGGACCCTGCATCTGATGTGATAATTTGGGCAGCCAATGGGTAAACGGCATGCACGTCTCTAGTTTCGGATCGATGGTAGTTTGAACGCATTGGGTATATTTCTGACATTTTACTTCTAGTGGTTGTGCCCTATCTTCGAGCCCCACAAACTCCATATCCCAACAAGATAAAGCAAGATAACGTGTTTCACTTCGTGTTCTGACTTTCCTCGATACACAGGGTATTCGACTACTGCCCTGGCCTGCACGGTCTCCAGATCTGTCACCCACTGAAAATATCTTGTCGTGAGTTGCTGACAGACTGGCTCGCCACCCCTCTCCAGCTAATATGGTTGATGAAGTGTGGCATAGAGTTGACGCAGCGTGGAAAGGAGTTACCCATTCCTGTCATCCAAGCCCAGTTTGACTCCATGCCTATTGAGGTAAGGGCCGTTTTAGCTGCCAGGGGTGGCAGCTGTTTCTACTAATTTCGCACCCCTGTAAACCTCCAAAATGCTACAAATTTAATCATTTTGTCCTCATGCCGTACTGTTTTGCGTGCAATAAATATATTTTTTGTATTTGCTTTCTTTCACGGTGTTGCGATTTTAATGGCCAGCAGTGTATAATACAACGTATTATGTGATTTACTAAAAGCTACCTGACTTTGCTATCAGTAACAGTTTTGTGTTTTAGCCTGAATCCAAACATTACATATCGATCATGCTTCTCATAAATAGTAGTCAATATTGGCAGAAAAATATTTATAATTTTTCTTTTGAGGTTTACCAGTTCAAAATTCGTTACAGATTTTCTTAACGTTCCTTACCGTAATTGCTTTTATTTTAGTTTAACCGTAAGCTTAATCATTAAAAAAAAACTTATTGTTATAGGAAACTGTGAATCCTTGTTCATGGATGGAACCTTGTCCATACCCTTCACTCATATCCCTACTAAATCTCCTGAAGTATCACCCATAGAGGTTTTCGCTTTTGGACTTTTAAAAAGCGAATTGTCCAAACGTCGACCAACGACCCTCCTTGGACTTCCGCCGTTCAGGAGGAATGGATAAAATACATCTCCCGACACTACAAAAGGCTCTATTATTTTTGAAATTACAGCGCAGAAAGATAGCGAAGGATAACGCTTATGAAACAGAACACATATAATAAAACGTATAAAAGTTTAAAACAAAAAATTTTAGGTAAAATATTTCTGTAAATACAAGGTAAATCGTCTAAAAATGTGCGAGCATCTTCGGTATGCAATACACAAATATTCAGAATTTATCTACAATAAATATGATTTCATAGTGTAAAGAGTAAAATTTGAATACAGTTTCACACACATATTCATTGATTCACTTATCCATGGTTCAGAGCAGCAGAAAGGGAAAAAAAATCTTAAGTTCCGAAACACAACAGAAGCGACAACAGTTCATAACATAGCTGAAATATAGCGGTTCATAATGTGTGCAATATTGCCTAAGCACGCAACTGCATGATCTTTTGAAGCCGACGTAATTAGGTATGGGTACGAAAGTGTTAACTTCAGAACCTTGTGTACATTCTGGAGGTACAAAAAATCCTTCAAATTCTGAATTTACGAAACATATTGATAGATATAAAAGTGATAGCAGAAAATCTCGACTATCAGTGGCAAGAGAATGTTCAATTTATCTCTTCTTTTAAAATTTATTTTAATTCTTGCTTTATTGTCTTCTCGCAGTTCCCTTCTAAGTTCTATTTACTTTAATAAGGATTCCTAAAAGAAAAACTAGTGATGCCATAAGTTCTTTACAACTTCTAGCGGAATATTAGCGTTAAGAAAATAAAAAAATGCTTATTTTTTAATTGTTTGAATCAATATATTGTTACGAATTTTGTATATATGTATAAAATTTTAATGAAATTTTACGTGAAATCTTAAGATTTTTTGTATAATGGTACAAGAAATGCTTGAAAGAGATGAAGTTCTACCGGAAAATAAGATTGTAGGGGCAAGTCTATTTAACATTGAGATAAATGGCTATCTCGCAAAATTGGCGAGATATCGCCAAGCTGGGCATGTTATCGGCGACTCATTTTGTCTCCAAATTGGATGAGAATTCGACAAAAGTCACCAAATATAACTTGGGGCCATTTGATGAAATGTTTGTTCGGTCCCTGTATAACGTAACTGGTAGAGTAATTGAATAACTTTAATTGATTCCTATATGCCTTCCTGTAGTTTTGAGAAATGGAACATACTCGAAATTTCTCGTCAGCTGAGGGAAGACTGTATAAAACAAGAGAGAGCGCCAGTTTTCCAGTTCAGAGTGGACTTGGGAGTATTGAGATCTTTGCACAAGCTTCGCTGTTTAGATGCGCTTTGCATTCAATTGTGTTTAACATTCTGAGTAATTTGAAGTATGACTGTATGTTCTTTGTGATACTATGAAGAGCTGTACGAGTATTTTTTTGTGAAAAGTTCCAGAACTCTAAAGTGTTTCTTTGGTAAAAATAAATTTTCTATCATCGGTTCTCTGTGCATTCAAATCTATTAAGAACGCCTACGCATGCAAAAATATTACGTCGTAAAATATAAGAACTGCAGCTCTTCATTTTCTACTTATCTTATCTTAAATCCTTGGCCTTGAGGATTAAATTAAAATATCACATTGCTTTACTTGCATCGGTGTGAGAGAGACTCTACTTTTCAGTGAACAGTATATTTTAAATTACTTTATTTAGTAATACAGCACATGATATATTGTTGTACAGAAAATACTATTTATTACATCATTTAATGCTAGTAATGTTTTATGTTATGACTTTCAATTAAATGTAATCATAATTATGTAAGTTTTACAAATATCTTGCTATTATCCGCGGATATACATATCTGTGGTAAGATATGGGAACTTATTACCCACATACGCACACATTACTACTGTTTTCCAAAAAACCATTTTAAATTTCAGTAGATAACTACTGAAATTAGTAATAAATTAAAAATTTAATTACCACTATTTAATTTTCTGGAAATATATGTATATAAATTTGAATTCAAAACGAGAAAAAAAATCTCACCGATTTAATATTGAAATGCAGAATGGAGCTCAGGTAAGTTGGCAGTTCCGTGAGAAGAATTAAAAAACCAAAATTGTGCCCAATATGGGCAATAATCACAGACCACATAGGAAGCGAAGTAAAGAGAGTAAGCCAGGGTACTTTTGGTTTCTAGAATGGAAAAAGGAAGTATTTGACTGGTTGCATTATTATACGTATCTATGCATATTGTAGCACTAAATCTCTGTATATTATTATCATTCTATCAAACTAAAACCTTGCAATAACATCTTTCTTATTCAAACAACTGTTCGATGACGAATGTAGATGTATAGCTAATACTTAACTCTTTAAGTCAGAATACAGTTCAAATTATCAGTATTTGTTATATACCTTAAGTACAGAAGCTAAGCAGTTTATTTTACACTTCTAAATTTATGTTCATCATTTAAAAATATACAATAATGGCTTATCATTGCTAAGAAAATATCTAAGCAGAATATCTAAGCTAAGATCTTAATTTGAGAATGTTAGTTGTTTAGATTTGGAGAGAACAATTAAATAAATGAATGTAAAATGGTGATAATATTAATATTCCATGAAAATAGGCAATTTTATATTACTATTTTACTTCAACGTATACTCAATCCCCTACGTTATAAATTGTTATCCACAGTCGAAACACTTCAATTAAATTTATCATTTAGATTATAAACTTTCATTTTTTTATCATTTAAGAAATTGAATTATTTTTTTCTTTATTTTACACCATTTCCTAGGTTATCATCCTTCAAAATAAAAAGTAAAATGATAATATTATTCTACATGAATAGTTGTGTATACACAAATATGTGGGTCCCCTTCTTCCTGTAAAAATTATAGACAATTCTATATGCATTTACATATCTTTAGGATATTTATGAGAAGACATGTATTACTCTCTACTCAAAAATGATTACTAATCTGTAGTAATTAATGGTAATTTCAGCTGAATTTTCATGCTTTTAGAAAATTTATGAGACATGTACTCAAAAATAATTACTATTCTGTAGTAATTATTGATAACTCCAGCTGAATTTGCCCACTTTTAGAACATTTATGAGAAACATGTATTATTTTTCTGCTCAAAAATGATTATTATCTGAATTTACATACCATTATAACAATTATAGTAAACATTAATTATTTCTCTACTCAAAAATGATTATTTCAACAAATTGAACAACATTTTATCATTTAGGAAACTGAAATATTTTTCTATTTTACATCATTTTTATATTATCATCTAAGTTATTCTACATGAATGTCTGTGTATAGTGAAAATCTTTTAACACGAAACTGAGGGGACCGAAATATTTTTTCGTGTTAAAGGATATCGCAAAGAACAAAAACCTATATTCACCAAAATTAAGTTTATTAGAGTACATTTTATTTGCATAGATATGCATACTATACGCATGTATTTAATAAAAATTAATGAAACAAAAACATCCACAAGAACTTAATACAAAATTTTCAAGTGTTGAAAAACAAAACAAAAATTGAGGTTTCGGAAAATAATCTGATATTTTTCTTTGCATTGTCTTTTTTAGCACCAAATTGTTCGATGTCGTCCATTTTGTTATTCATTTCACCATTGGAAAATGCGTCTAAATAACTGCGCATACCTTTCCTGACGATCCTCATTTCGGATGATGTGAGAACAGGAGCTGCATTATTCACTTCATTTTCATCGTCATAATCTACACCAATGATATCTTTTTAGCTTTGAACAAACTCCAAACTTTCTTTGTCTGCCATAATTGGGGCTGTACGCACATTTTCATCATCTACTGCTATCAGGTTCAATGTTCCGCCTTACTTTCTTTGGGAACATGCAAAGACCCTGACTCGGAACAGGGAGCTTACTAAAGCTATGTTCAATAAATGTGGGAAGTAGACAAGATACACAGGAAGGGTATACGAAACCCTTTATTTTTCACTCTTTACAATAATTTCCGTACTTCGGAATACAGAGACCAACTACTTGTGGTCTGAACGTAAGAATATAAAAATATTAACTAAACTCTAACTTAACTTTGGAATAAACAAGGGCCTACGTGGAAGATTGGCCGTATATTAACAGAGGAAGCCGTATGTAGTACAGAGAACTGTTAACACTACAATACGTTTAAAATTATCAAGAGGATTAAACCTCTGGCCTTGGAAGGCAACCAGCAACCGAGTAAAACTGCTAAGGCAAGCGGCCTGCTTCGACTAACTCCTTCCTCTCTCTCTCGCTTGGCAAAAAAAAGCCACAACTTAAGTACTTGGCGTTCGCCAGACAAAATTTGCATAAATAAGTTAAAGCTTTTAATTCTGGCCGGAAGTAGAAAATAAGAAGTGATAGTAAAGATTTAAAATAAAATAAACGTTAGTAAAACTTAAGATCCTTACATACTTCCCGCCAGAGTTAATTAGTTTGAAACTGAGGTCTAAAACGACCTTGTTGAAAACTTTTAGCTCTAGAATCTAACGCGAGGCCAATCTTTTACAAACATTTCTCACTAGAAACTAGAAATTTAAAAAAAAAAATTGTTTTTACATTATCAGCTCCATGGACAACCACTTTTCATCTGTACTGCATCTAAACAGGAGCTTTTAGTTCAAATCTGGTTCCTTCCAGAGATCTGGAAGGAAAACTAGTTTAATGAAATGTTACACAATTAAATGGCAAGTAACATGAATATTTATATTTCTCTTAACATTCTTATTTCATTCATGACTTTATTTTAATTATCTCTCCCCGTGCTCTCTGACATGTGTTGTAAAAGAAAACACCAAACACGAATGTTTTTATGTACAAGTGTTCAACACTGCCGCCTACAATCAAAACACTAACGTGTTAAAATTCAACATAACAAGACCTCGTAACACACACTTATCTTCATCTCTAAACCCTGAGGTACTATTCTGAAAGTGGCTAACTCTGAAGTGTAGCGTCAGAGAGCCTAACTACATTCATTCAACCTTTAACACATATTCACAATAATTTGGTCTTTTTACAGTCACACGAATAAGTTTAAAATTTTTGGCATTACTTTCACTTTTACCATATCACAGTATTTCTTAACATTTAAAATAACAGTTCACATTGTATATAAGAACATATTAACATGCCGTTAATTTTACGCATTTTAAAACATACATTAGTAGTACATTGTTAACTTCTATTCTTTTCCAAGCAAGTGCCAATTCTTCTACATTGAAATACTACATTTCAAAAGTCTTTCAGACTAAAACTTCTTTCTTGCCAGAATGTTTTAAATAAAATTTATACAATAACTTTTACAATATTCAAGTATTTACACATTCCTATTATACATCAACTTTAGTTTTACTCGCGAGTAATTGAAAAACATAATACCAAAATAGGTAACAACTCATTTCTCGCCTTTTTGGCGATAAAGGTAGACCTCACATGAGGTAAAACGTCTTGAAATCTGCCACTTGCAGTAAGAATGAAAGATTAACTTAAGTTTGCAAAGTAACATAAAATTTTACTTATCTTTGTGATATTCGGACATTCTTTTCTCTGCCCAGTCCTGGAAGGTAGCGAAGATTCTAGTTTGATTTATCCTCCTTCTTGTGCGGGCTCGCCCTTCAGTTCCTTCCTCTAGAAGCTTTCTTTTTCCTCCAGTTCGGTCACCCTTGAATACCTTCTTTTTCGCCTCTGCCTGTGGTCTTGGCCGTTTGATGGCAGCTGGTCTTGGCGGAACCGGGAGGAAACTTCTCTCTCGTTCCTGCTTGGATCTCGTTGCTGGCCGTTCAAATTTTCCTTGTATCTTTTCCTCCGCCGCTGGTGGCCCTTCCGCAATTCGGCGACATTTGCTGCGGAGAGAGTCCTGTCCGATGAGTAGATCTTCCGTTTGGGAGCCGGGTTATAGTTGCCGTTATTTCTCCTGGCTCTCTTTGCATTCGTCGTACTTCTCCCTTCTTCATTCTGGGGGTGGTCGTGTCGTGAGCTCTCTTTTCTGGTCGGTGGAACGGCTTCTTTTTCTTGTTACCTTCAATTTTCCAACGGGGAAACTTTCTTTTCAATTGCTCCTGCCTCCTAATGGCTTGCCCTTGTGTACTTGTCGTTGTTCCACCTCTGGAGCTTGTGCCTGCCGTGCCGGATCCTGCAAAAGATCTTTAAATATTTGCATTTTATTACGGATCATAGTATGGTTTTTATTTGGTCAATGTTTGCGGAGCATGTTTCACCATTCCTGGCTTTTAACACCACTACAGCGTGAGTTATTTTTTCTATGACATATGGTCCTTCAAATCGTGGAAAAAAATTTGGCGGTTTTATCTTCTGGTGCTGAAGAAAGTGAATGCTTAATTTTTAATACTTCATCTCCTACTTTATAAGTTACTCCCCGTCGTTTCAAATCGTAATAAAGTTTTGTTTTCTCTGTGCTACTTCAGTGTTCTTTTTTGCTTCTTTAATTAATTTTTCTATATCACCCATTTTAAATTCTGGGGCTCTTTGTTGAACATAAAATAATTTATCTAACGGCGTTATAATCTTTCTGCCTAAAAATAACTCAGCAGGAGTTTTGCCCGTTGTATCATGTTTTGCGGTCCTAAGGGCGAAAGCAAATTCATTGACATAGTTATCCCAGCTTTTATGAAAATTTTTAACATAACTACGGATAATTTTCACTATATTTCTATTGACCCGTTCCGCTATATTTGATTGCGGCCGATACGGGACCATTTTTAAATGACGTATGCCCAGTTTTTGGCACATGTCTTCAAATATATTACTTACAAATTGAGGACCATTATCCGATATAACTTTTAGGGGCGCCCCGTATTTTAAAATATATTTATTTAAAATAGAATCAGTAACTAATTTCGCGGAGGCTCGTTTTAAGGGAACAATTTCGGTCCACTTACTAAAATGATCAACCATAACAAGGATATAGCGACTTTTATTTAACTGACTTTTTGGGAAAGGGCCCAATAAATCGATGCCAATTATTTCATTTGGAAATTCGGATTTAATACTATTTAGAAACCCGGCCGGGCGGAAATTAATATAATTAACTGCTTGACATGTTGGGCAGGACTGGACATACGCCCTTGTTAACTTTTGCAGTTCAGGAAAATAGACTGCCTCGCGTACGCGTTGGATAGTTTTT